TCAAGGAGTTAAGATTTGTATTGTGTATATATATTAAAAAAAAAAAAAAAAAGCGTAGCTGTTGCCTCTTGATATATTGTTATGTGTTAATTTGATTGCTTAGACATATGACAGTAAAAAAAATGTTATCAGTTAGTTATAGGGAATACATCCACAATTTGACACGATTTCCATAGGTGTTTTTGTGTATTGCAACAGGTTAAACCCCACCCACCCCGCGCCCCTCCGCTCCACAGGATATTTGCATTTAATTCTAAATATTGTGTTAATATCGGACTGTTTTTTTTTTTTTGCTCCATTTTGATTTCCGTTGAATTAACCCAAGCAAAATCAATAATCAACAAAATCATATAAAATTCATAAATAGTCTGCAAAGGTCAAAAGCTACGGCCTCTACAACACTACACTACGCCACACACTACATCCATACTATACCACACCCACTAACACACACACACACACACACACACACACATGCACATGTACATTGCACACCGTTTGCTTTGCCTCAGTGGGGATGGGCCGCAACTGGGGCTGGGCCCGGCAGCTGATCCCGTGGATGGCGACGCCTCTGCTGTGTGCTGGCAATGCGTTTCTTCAGCATTTGGAATGTCTGCTGCATGTTGGTCATCTGGTAGCGTATGGACGTGCTGACGTCACGCTGCAGCTGCTGCACCTCCTGTATGTCCTTGCGCAGATTCTGGTACTCGTTCTTCACCTCGGTCATCGACTCGAGCAGCTCCATCACCTCCATTTCGTCCATCTGCTCCATGGCCGTCTGGTCCAGGCTGCGCTCCACGGCGTGCAGTTTGTGGGCCATCGTATACAGCTGGCTGCCAGCATTGGCCACCTATATGTATATAAATATATATATGTATATATTGCGATATTTTTCCTTTTCGTTTTACCGATTTTTCGAGTGCGCTTATATCCTGATAGCCCGACATCTCCATATTGCAGCGCTATTGTTCTGCTCGCATGCTTTCTTCACCAAATAACGGCAACACCAACAACAGCAGCAGCAACAACAACAGCAGCGAAACGAAAATAAATAAATAAACTAACTGTCAACTCGGCTGCCAAACAGCTCCAATTATAATCCCAAATTATGCGTTGCCTATTTGCGGGCGCCGACTGCGCGCGACTGCCCTGCGAACGAGCTKTGGCGGCGTCTCTCTGAAGCGAAGCAGCCAATCTTAGTGAATCCAGCGGCTCGCTCGGCTATTTATACACACGAGCATGCACACTCCCCCACACACACACAGCCAAACACGCGCACACAAAAGGGCAGACAGCAAACGAGCACACACACACACACGCACACACATGAACAGACAGCCATGCTGTTTCGCTTCCGCATCCCTACCAAACGAGGGAAGACAACCAACGAAACAAACAGCGACGTAGTCGAAGCGTGCATACCCTAAGTGCAGCAAAAAGTAAGAATAATACAATGAAATATGTCAATTGAAGATTTATCTGTGCTGATCCATCAATGAAAAACTATTCTACTATTAATTATTTAAGCTATTTAAACATCAAACATAAAACCTAGCAAATTATATATCATACATGTCCGTTTCCATAAAAGATATATATACTATATAAATAAATTCCCCAAAAACACAAAAAATTTATATGAACTTAAGCTTTTGTATACCCTACCCACATAAAATGATTTCTTATTCTACAAAATTTCCCTTTAAAAATCAATTTTATTATTAAATATGTGTCCTTTAATACTATCACTAACCATAGTTCCATATTCTATGGTTAGTGATACTCTTGACATCGATATATTACATAAATGTCCCTAAACATAAAAATTAAATATTTCCTGTTCTATGCATACCCTACATATCCAAACTTATTCTATTACACACACACACACATACGTTACATAAATTCCCCTAAACACGTAAATACGATATTTTTAATTTATTTCTGTAAAGGCCGACATGTAGGTATACCCTACAAAAATGAAGCAGAAATATCCTATTTATGTGTTTAGGGAACCCAATCGGTTATACACATACGCATACTACTACGGTGATATACCACTTCATATCTTCATGAAGGCACCTCAAAAATATCCTTATGAACAAGGCAAAGCTATTTCCGCTTAGCTTTTTATACACTCTACCCATATACAAACTTATTCGACTATATATAGTAAATGCTTTAAATAAATTTCCCCATTTATATTTGATGCATCACCTATTGAAACGAACTCGATCATACCCCATATGTCCTCTCATAAGCCATGCAAATTCACCACCAACAGCAATCTGTCTGTCTGTCCGCCTGTCTGCTCGCTTGTGTGAATGTGCGTTTTTTCCGGTGAATGGCAACTTTGACCAGCGAAAGTATTTTAATTATGAGGCCATGTGTGCACATGCTGACCAGGAAGCGGAAGCTGGCTGAGACTTGCCTTTGAGCCGATAGAAATAAGCTGTTTGCTTAACGTATACGTTTTTCATTTTTCATTTTCCATTTCATTTTCACTCAATTTCTCTAACGTTTTTATAACTTTTATGTATACAATTATAGCTGATTTTCTTTGGCTCTTTTTTTTTTTTTTTTGTAGGGCAACTTAGAAGATAATAAATGGGCGATCACGGGGGCGGTGCGGATAAGGAGACGGATGAGGATGGCGACATCTTGCCGCGCTTCAAAGGCTTGCCGAATATCGTCGAGGGTGTGGACGATATCTTCTCTCATTTGAAGAAGCGACACGTCCATCTCTATCCAGAAAATGGCACCCACAAGAAATGGGTCCAGCCGCAAATTATAGTTCTGTTCGCGACCGGAAATCTGAGTCAAGTTGTTGATACGGTCATTAGGGATCTAAAGCATCCGTTTGGCGTCGGGCTGGTGACCAGCGTACTGGTGCAGGAGCCACTGCGTCAGGCAATTGTTCGAAGACTCCGTAACCGCATGGAACTAATGGACGAGCGCATAGAAACTCATCCAAATTTTTTGAATACTCTCAAGGTGATAGAACGACTCAATTGCAGAACTCTTTTTATGGAAGAATATGATCCAGTTGACAAAAGGCCAAATGGTGTTAGACAGCCGCATTCGCCAATTGTCGTCCTAGATTTCCCCCAAATCTATTTTGGCGATAAGCCCACGGCTATTGTTACGCTAAATACCTTTCGGACTCTCAGCGAAGCGATCAAACTTTGCAATCGCGAGGGTCTTCAGTTCGATACGATTTCGATTTGGACCAACAAGCTATCGGAGGGCTATGATATGGTCCCGGCGCTATCAAAGTACCCAAATTTCCGATTCAATTGTATCAATGTACCGTTCGATTCCAAGGTTATGGTAGCTGTACACAGGAATTATCATTACGAAGTTCTAGCTAATGGCGGAGACTTATCGACCATAGTATTTCCCATACGTCATCACATCCACTAGCCCCAATTCAAATATGTAATAAAATATTGTTTGTTTGTTGATTTGTTTAGCGCAAAAGTAAAATTCAAAAATATACCTACGAGGGTAAGAAAAAGTGTATTTTAGTATTTTTTGTACCTCACGGTCGCAACGTGCTATCGATAGCTGTGTGGTGTGGTAAGTGTGAGAAATCGATATATTGTGGGCAGCAGTACTGCCAGCTCTAGATCCATCCGCAATTTGGAAATAAATAAAATAGATGTTAATGAAGTGCAAATGTTGTTAAAATTCGATTAGTTGGCTAACGAAATGATTTGTCGCTTGTGCTTGAACCCATTGAACGAGCAGAACACCGTGCTGCTCTTCACTGGCGGCGACAACGAGGCATCTAACAGCGACAACAAGACAATACCGGAAAACTATTTGGTTCAATTGATATCAACGCATTTATATCTATGCGTAAGTCGATCTGTGTGCAGAGCACACGATTGCCGCCGTCTTGAACTGAGTCCTGCTCTAACACAATTTTCCTATTGTTTTTTCATTCAGCTGTCGCGCGACGATGCCATTTCCACATCCATTTGCACGGACTGCCGTGCGCAACTGGAGAGTTTTCACAACTTCTGGAAGCTGGTGGAGCATAAGCAGACAACGCTCTGCAGCCAGTTCTTGGAGATTGACTGCGACGTTAATTGGTCCGAGGAGGGAGATGCGGAGCAGCAGCAGATGCAGCACCCGTTATCCCTAGTCGATTACGAGCAGGACGCCGACCCAGACCTTGAGCAGGAGGCGGTCGGCGATGATACTCCAGCAGTTTACGACGTCAAAGATGAAACCGAATTTCACGAATCTTACCTTAAGGTCGACCCCAAGGCAGCAGCCGCGGCCCACAAGTTTCCCTGCATGTTCTGTGACAAGTCCTTCAAGATGCGCCGCTATCTCGAGGAACATGTGGCCACGCATACGGGCGATCGTCCCATTGCATGCGCCTACTGCAACATGGCGTTTCGCTGTCGATCCAACATGTACACCCATGTGAAGACCAAACACAATATCCAGTGGCAAAAGGCGCGCGCCGACCGCGAATCAGCCAAGATCAACAGCAACAACAATGTCCAAATCCAGCGAACCACCAATGGGGACAACAGCGACAAGCTTATGGATGCACTCAATGTGCCGTCCACTGAGCTCAAGCCGACAGTCAAATTAGAAACTTCCGATGCCACTCCAGCTCCAGCTCTAACTCCAGCTCCAGCTGCAGCTGCCTTAGCAGCACCACAGCCGCAGCAGCCACCGCCACCGCAAGCGCCGCTGGTGCCACCCAGCATTGCTGCCATCAAGTGCGAGCCGATGGAAGCAATCAATCTGACGATGGCCAAGGCGCCGACGTGTCCATTGCCAGCCGCCAAGCGAGTGACTCGCTCCAGCCGCCGCAAGACGCATCTGCCAAAGAAGGTGGAGCACACGACGCGCAGTGGCAGCGTCAGCGAGGACAGCAGCAACGAGGAGGCACCGCCCGATCCTCGCGAGAAGCGCTTGAAGACAACCGAGCTGCAGACGTGCAAGGAGAACGAACTGCTGCTGGCCAACTACAATGCGGTGGCCGCTGTGGTGGCAGCAGCCACGCAGCAACAGCAGCAGCTGTGCGCCACAATTATGCAGCAGCATCATCAGGAGCAGCTGCTGACGTCGATGGCAGCGGTCAGCACGAGTGCCAGCAGCACGACTGCAGCCGCAGCAGCAGCAACAGCAACGTTAAATAGTCAAAGCAGGTGGGTAATCCTTTGCTAATCCAGGAACAAAGCCACAATTGAACTGTTCCTCATTCACTTACAGCACATCAGTGGCTGTGGCGCCCGCTTCCTGCTCCCTGCCAGCTGCTGAGCCCTATACATGTAGCATCTGTGGCCAGCAGCTGCGCAATCAGCGCGCGCTCAAAAATCACCTGCACAACAAGCACAATGCGATGCCAGCACCGATAGCAACAGCAACAGCAACAGGGGCAGGAACAGCAACTCCGACACAGACACAGACACAGTCAAGCACATCGACATCGCCCGGTCCCAGCCAGGCGGCGCTGAACATCTGTGCCAATTGCGGCGAGCTGCCTGGCCAGAATCATCGCTGCCTGAGCAAAGCCAAATACGCCTGCAACGTGTGCGGCAAGTCATTCAAAATGAAGCGCTATCTGGAGGTGGGCAGCATCTACAACAGCTCCATTATGATAGTATCAATTTCAATTGAATTCGTATTTGTATTTGTATTGCTGTTGCAGGAACACTTTGCCACACACACGGGCGTCAAGCTGCACACCTGCGCCTTCTGCCCCACAGAGTTTCGCTCCAAGTCGAATATGTATCATCACACCAAGCGCAAGCACAAAACCGAATGGGAGCGTTCGCGTGCCACGCGCAATGCAGCCAAATCGACGGCGAGCACTGAGCAGCAGCAGCAGCAGGAGCCGGAGCCGGAGCAACTGGATGAGACAGTCACAACAGTGAATTCCTAGTGTGAGCAGCGCGGGAGATTATGTTAAGCAAGCCAGCGCTGTCTTTCA